CATGTGACTGCAGCACACACAGAGAGAATGGGGGACACACTCCCCCACAGATCCCATCCACCCTACTCAGGGCCACGGTAGGCCTTATTCCCGCTGCCGCTAATAGCACTTCCCACATTACGCACTTCTCCTTAACACTGGGCCCCACCCCACAGCGACGCCACAAAGTTTCAGTCTTTACTTCAGCCCTGGGCTAACACGTGCTTCCAGGCCCCTGCACCCGAACGGCTTCTGACTGGCCCTGTAAAGAACAGGGCGGGGGGAGAAGGGTTACTCCTCATGGGAATGACTGGATGAGAAGCTTCAAGAAAGACCATTTGCTAACACCTGGACACCACATCAGAGGAACCAGCCTCACCTGCCTTCTCCACCCTCTTCCGCTCCTCGGCCATCTTCAGTCGGTAATCCCCGAACACGTGGCTCATCACCTGCCGCTTCTTCACAAAGGGAGCCTTGCGGGAGCGCAGGATCCTGAGGACGCGCTGCGTCTCCTCTGCTGCGTTCCACAAGCCGACCGACACAAAGAGAACAAACACATCACAGCGGGTCCCACACGCTACTTAGAGCAGAGCAAGGTCTCCAAGTGCCCAGTTGCTACTCTCTGGCTGCACGAAGACTGGAACGGCTGCCGGTCGCGGCCCTGGGACACCACCTACAGAATTAGCCCCTTCTCAGTGGCTTCAGGCTCTGTACAAATGGACGCAACACCATGCGATGCTTCCGGGGGAGGAAGCGAATTCCTATGTGCTCGTTGTTACTGCACACATCTCTATCCCACCTGTCCTTGGCAGGTGGCTCTATCTTCAGGGTACTTGTGTGACCAACAACACACGGAGCAATGCTCTCCTACAGAAAAGGCACAGCTCATGCTTCTGCATAAGCGTGGCTGCAGGGTCCAGGAAGGAATTTTGGATCCTCATGTGCACCATGACACACTCAGCCAGATGCCTCACAAAGTGGTCTCTGCCGGGGGCATGATATTGGGCACGGTGCTTGTCCTGAATAGCTGGGAATCGGGATGGGCACAGTTCCACTCCCGAAGTGTCCCTGAATACTCCTGAAGCCAGGATTCTAATGGGCAGCAAAGTTTCTCTTTGACGTGATTTCCTCTTTTCCCAGGTGTGACAGGCTGGGGAAGGGGTAACCCTCCTTTGGGGCTGAGGAAGCCACGCCCTACTGGGCATGCTTCAGACGTGTACGCTCAGCTCAGCTGGGGCTGGCCATCAGGGAGGAGGGCTCCATGCCGCTGGCTCCAGCCAAGGGTCAGCTGAAGCTGGAGACGCTGCGAGCCAGGCAGGTGCCGAGAGCCAGGGAGGCCCTGCAGAGCTTGTGGTGGCTGCGGAACGCCCAGGGTGCAGCAATGGGAACGACAGCACAAAGCAGGGCTGGGGCACTGCGGCAGAGGCGTGGTTAGTGAACTGGAATTTTGAGTCAGCGTGATTTGGACAGAACCTCACCACCTGGGCTGCCACGCCCTTTCCCGTGCATGGGGGCTCCCTTCCCAACTGAGACCACTCTGCCACTAGACCTTACTGCCCGCTACGAGGAGTGCATCTATGGACTCTGGCCACTAGGCCTCACAGCCCTGACAACGGAGGCAAAGCTACTGTCTCTGGCTATTGAGCCACACTGCCCAGCTATTCAGGACAAGCACAACTGAAGAGAGGTGGGAGCACTGGGCTCTGCATTGGATGGGTCTCCCTCACCCTTGTCACACGGGCAACGAGGAACATGCTTAAAAAATAAAGCGACACCTATTTGAGGGGCATCCCTGTTGATCTGCGCCTGACAACGGAGGCAAAGCTACTGTCTCTGGCTATTGAGCCACACTGCCCAGCTATTCAGGACAAGCACAACTGAAGAGAGGTGGGAGCACTGGGCTCTGCATTGGATGGGTCTCCCTCACCCTTGTCACACGGGCAACGAGGAACATGCTTAAAAAATAAAGCGACACCTATTTGAGGGGCATCCCTGTTGATCTGCGCAGCGCCAGCCACTGGACAGTGCAGGACTGCATCTCAGCTGAAGCATCAGCGGCAGAGTAAGAGTGATTGAAGCCCTGAGGGGTGAAACCGCTGTTGGAGCTGCAAGGCCTTGCAGAAAGCCTGAAGGAGAGGGTCGAAACATACGCGGAGGGGCACGGCTAAGGGGAAGGGAGGAATGAGGCAGAGGGGCTAAAAGGCCAATGAGGAGAGAAGAAACAATGCACGAGGAAGGAAAGCCCAGCTCACAGGAGTAAGCGAGGTGAGGCAGATAGAGTCTAAAGTGGAACAGACGTTAAATAAGGCCCAAAGGTTTCGCTACATTTCAAATTTAGAAGGAATCTCAATTACGATTCAATAGACAGAGCTATTAGAATGGCTTCTGGGTGAACTAAACCAGCACAGAGCTTAGACTTTAGGCAGAAAACGTGAGCGGGGCAACGTACCTTGTTCTGGGGTTGGACCGAGACGCAGGAGGCCTGTTTCCAGCTGCAAAATACACCACTCCAGCTCATCGCGGAATGTCCCTTGGGGAGCCTGGAATATCGGGAAGGGCACACCTAGTTATTCCTGAAGTGAGGGGTGCAGGTGCACCAACCTCACACCCTTCCAGTGGACCCCATAAATGGTTGTTCTAAAACGCTCTGGCCTGAGCTACGATAAGAGGGTCACAATGGTTCCATCTGGCCTTCAATATCCGGAACGCTGCACGTCAGTTGCAGAGCAATGGAGGATAAAAGGACTATGGGCCTGTATTAATCCAGGCTCAATGGTGGGGTGGTGGTGGTGGTTTGTGGTTAAGTTGTTTGACGCCTATTGATGAGGCCGCTAGATCATAGAAGTTAGTGACAGAAAAGATGTGTCAGCTGACTGTCATGCAGTGCATTTCCATGCGGTGAGGACTTTCCCAGTTTGATGCCCTATTTAATTTAAAGGTCCTACGTAATGGGGTTCCCACCAATCATCTTTGCAAAACAGTCTCCAGCCTAACAGATCTCTCGGTTAGGAGATTATCTCCTTTGTAATAACTTGTACCCCATCCCCACCCAACCTCTCTTGGTTGCATTACCTCATCTGTTTCTGATACAATAGAAAGGCTGGGTATGGCAAACAAAACCAAACAGATACACCTGAACATACATAAATGAGCTACACTGAACAAGCAGAGCACTCCCAAATCCCAAAAGAGGGGCAAGGTTTTCAAAACTGACTGATCATTTTGGGGGCTCAACCTGAGGTACCTCTAGGGGCCCTGAATTCAAGAGGGTGGGAACCCATCACTGTCTGAAAATCAGACCTCTTTAAGGTGTCTCAAGTTGGGCTCACAAAATCACTAGTTAGGTTTAAAACTCTGGCCCGGATTCTTCCTTCATTCCTACCAGAGTGATAAATCTTAGGGCTGACGCTACGTGATTTCCAAGCTTTCACACGATCACAGAGGCTTAGGCTTGGAAGAGACCTCGGGAACTCACCTAGTCCAACCCCGCGCTCAAAGCAGGCCCATGCCCAATTAATAAATTCCTCAAGATTATACCATAGGGAAAAGCTGAAATGAAAATAATTTGTGTAGGTTTAAAGGTGCTAGTTTAAAGAAGAATTGGAAATGATCTTGGTCCCTCTTTAATTTTCTGAAAGATTTTGAATTAGTTTCATTTTGCAATCACCACCTTTTTACCTGTAAGTGGGCAGGGGCTGGACTCGATGACTTCCGGAGGTCTCGTCCTGCCCTAGGAGTCTATGATACCTGAATGTCCTATTGGCAGCCAAGTACTGACCTTTGAAGAATCTGTTCCATTGCATTTATCACCACAAACACAAGAGAGCTTTTAAAAAAGCCCTGACAACACATCAAGCGATGGACACACAGCAGGCCTGCTCATGTGGTGAACGGGGGGAGCTTTAAGGAGGCAAGACAATGCATGGCAACCTCTGCACAGGGCAGCAGGAAGACACCTTGAAAGATCAGGGCAGTGGCAGCCTTAGTTGTATCAATCAACTTGCATGCGGAAAGCAGAGGAGAGTGCACCGAGCGATTACCTCTTCCATTAGGACAGCTGCCTGGCTGAGGCTCAGCTCTGGAATCCTACCTGGCTCCTACGACCTAGAAGCATGAGACAATGAGTGAGCGCGCATCAAAGCCGACACTGGAAGCGCCCATGGGAACGCTTCCAAGTAACATCTCGGGGGTGAAAGGAGCATGGCCGCTCTGCCTCAGAGCTCTTTCGGAAAGCTCCTTCCTGTGGGTGATTTCGAAGGGCGGGAGACAAGAAGGGGCTACATACATGTCCTGTGGAGCAGTGTTTCCCAACCTTTGTATATAGGACCCCTTTTAAACAAAATTGTAAGTACCCCCAGTACCTACAGGTTTCAGACACGCACCCTTTGTTCTACCGTTGCCACACATTTGTTTAAACAACTTCATCATAGCTGGGCAGGCGATGCCATTTTTGGGTGTAAAAAGTACAAAAATACTAAACACTTAAACATTCCGTTTTCTCCAGATTTCAGTTGTGTTGACGTGCCCCCCCCAGCCGTCTCTCAAGTACCCCTAGGGTACTCGCACCACTGGTTGAGAAACACTGCTCTAGAGGCCACGCAGGAGCAAAGGGCTGAGCTTTCCACTGGTGCTCCATCGCCAAGACGCCAGCTCCTTCAGCCACCAACAGGAGTCACCGGGGGGATGCTCACTAGGGATGTAACAGTGCAGCCGATTAACCGATTAGCAAAAGCTTACAGGTTAATGCCATAGACGATGCACATTCCTTCCCCCGGGACAGTGTATGTTTTTAGCAGCCTCCCCCTCTCTGCATCCCTCTCCTTCCACTGCATCCCGCTCTCTGCATTGCATGCTCCCCCTCTCTGCATCCCTCTCCTTCCACTGCATCCCGCTCTCTGCATTGCATGCTCCCCCTCTCTGCATCCCTCTCCTTCCACTGCATCCCGCTCTCTGCATTGCATGCTCCCCCTCTCTGCATCCCTCTCCTTCCACTGCATCCCGCTCTCTGCATTGCATGCTCCCCCTCTCTGCATCCCTCTCCTTCCACTGCATCCCGCTCTCTGCATTGCATGCTCCCCCTCTCTGCATCCCTCTCCTTCCACTGCATCCCGCTCTCTGCATTGCATGCTCCCCCTCTCTGCATCCCTCTCCTTCCACTGCATCCCGCTCTCTGCATTGCATGCTCCCCCTCTCTGCATCCCTCTCCTTCCACTGCATCCCGCTCTCTGCATTGCATGCTCCCCCTCTCTGCATCCCTCTCCTTCCACTGCATCCCGCTCTCTGCATTGCATGCTCCCCCTCTCTGCATCCCTCTCCTTCCACTGCATCCCGCTCTCTGCATTGCATGCTCCCCCTCTCTGCATCCCTCTCCTTCCACTGCATCCCGCTCTCTGCATTGCATGCTCCCCCTCTCTGCATCCCTCTCCTTCCACTGCATCCCGCTCTCTGCATTGCATGCTCCCCCTCTCTGCATCCCTCTCCTTCCACTGCATCCCGCTCTCTGCATTGCATGCTCCCCCTCTCTGCATCCCTCTCCTTCCACTGCATCCCGCTCTCTGCATTGCATGCTCCCCCTCTCTGCATCCCTCTCCTTCCACTGCATCCCGCTCTCTGCATTGCATGCTCCCCCTCTCTGCATCCCTCTCCTTCCACTGCATCCCGCTCTCTGCATTGCATGCTCCCCCTCTCTGCATCCCTCTCCTTCCACTGCATCCCGCTCTCTGCATTGCATGCTCCCCCTCTCTGCATCCCTCTCCTTCCACTGCATCCCGCTCTCTGCATTGCATGCTCCCCCTCTCTGCATCCCTCTCCTTCCACTGCATCCCGCTCTCTGCATTGCATGCTCCCCCTCTCTGCATCCCTCTCCTTCCACTGCATCCCGCTCTCTGCATTGCATGCTCCCCCTCTCTGCATCCCTCTCCTTCCACTGCATCCCGCTCTCTGCATTGCATGCTCCCCCTCTCTGCATCCCTCTCCTTCCACTGCATCCCGCTCTCTGCATTGCATGCTCCCCCTCTCTGCATCCCTCTCCTTCCACTGCATCCCGCTCTCTGCATTGCATGCTCCCCCTCTCTGCATCCCTCTCCTTCCACTGCATCCCGCTCTCTGCATTGCATGCTCCCCCTCTCTGCATCCCTCTCCTTCCACTGCATCCCGCTCTCTGCATTGCATGCTCCCCCTCTCTGCATCCCTCTCCTTCCACTGCATCCCGCTCTCTGCATTGCATGCTCCCCCTCTCTGCATCCCTCTCCTTCCACTGCATCCCGCTCTCTGCATTGCATGCTCCCCCTCTCTGCATCCCTCTCCTTCCACTGCATCCCGCTCTCTGCATTGCATGCTCCCCCTCTCTGCATCCCTCTCCTTCCACTGCATCCCGCTCTCTGCATTGCATGCTCCCCCTCTCTGCATCCCTCTCCTTCCACTGCATCCCGCTCTCTGCATTGCATGCTCCCCCTCTCTGCATCCCTCTCCTTCCACTGCATCCCGCTCTCTGCATTGCATGCTCCCCCTCTCTGCATCCCTCTCCTTCCACTGCATCCCGCTCTCTGCATTGCATGCTCCCCCTCTCTGCATCCCTCTCCTTCCACTGCATCCCGCTCTCTGCATTGCATGCTCCCCCTCTCTGCATCCCTCTCCTTCCACTGCATCCCGCTCTCTGCATTGCATGCTCCCCCTCTCTGCATCCCTCTCCTTCCACTGCATCCCGCTCTCTGCATTGCATGCTCCCCCTCTCTGCATCCCTCTCCTTCCACTGCATCCCGCTCTCTGCATTGCATGCTCCCCCTCTCTGCATCCCTCTCCTTCCACTGCATCCCGCTCTCTGCATTGCATGCTCCCCCTCTCTGCATCCCTCTCCTTCCACTGCATCCCGCTCTCTGCATTGCATGCTCCCCCTCTCTGCATCCCTCTCCTTCCACTGCATCCCGCTCTCTGCATTGCATGCTCCCCCTCTCTGCATCCCTCTCCTTCCACTGCATCCCGCTCTCTGCATTGCATGCTCCCCCTCTCTGCATCCCTCTCCTTCCACTGCATCCCGCTCTCTGCATTGCATGCTCCCCCTCTCTGCATCCCTCTCCTTCCACTGCATCCCGCTCTCTGCATTGCATGCTCCCCCTCTCTGCATCCCTCTCCTTCCACTGCATCCCGCTCTCTGCATTGCATGCTCCCCCTCTCTGCATCCCTCTCCTTCCACTGCATCCCGCTCTCTGCATTGCATGCTCCCCCTCTCTGCATCCCTCTCCTTCCACTGCATCCCGCTCTCTGCATTGCATGCTCCCCCTCTCTGCATCCCTCTCCTTCCACTGCATCCCGCTCTCTGCATTGCATGCTCCCCCTCTCTGCATCCCTCTCCTTCCACTGCATCCCGCTCTCTGCATTGCATGCTCCCCCTCTCTGCATCCCTCTCCTTCCACTGCATCCCGCTCTCTGCATTGCATGCTCCCCCTCTCTGCATCCCTCTCCTTCCACTGCATCCCGCTCTCTGCATTGCATGCTCCCCCTCTCTGCATCCCTCTCCTTCCACTGCATCCCGCTCTCTGCATTGCATGCTCCCCCTCTCTGCATCCCTCTCCTTCCACTGCATCCCGCTCTCTGCATTGCATGCTCCCCCTCTCTGCATCCCTCTCCTTCCACTGCATCCCGCTCTCTGCATTGCATGCTCCCCCTCTCTGCATCCCTCTCCTTCCACTGCATCCCGCTCTCTGCATTGCATGCTCCCCCTCTCTGCATCCCTCTCCTTCCACTGCATCCCGCTCTCTGCATTGCATGCTCCCCCTCTCTGCATCCCTCTCCTTCCACTGCATCCCGCTCTCTGCATTGCATGCTCCCCCTCTCTGCATCCCTCTCCTTCCACTGCATCCCGCTCTCTGCATTGCATGCTCCCCCTCTCTGCATCCCTCTCCTTCCACTGCATCCCGCTCTCTGCATTGCATGCTCCCCCTCTCTGCATCCCTCTCCTTCCACTGCATCCCGCTCTCTGCATTGCATGCTCCCCCTCTCTGCATCCCTCTCCTTCCACTGCATCCCGCTCTCTGCATTGCATGCTCCCCCTCTCTGCATCCCTCTCCTTCCACTGCATCCCGCTCTCTGCATTGCATGCTCCCCCTCTCTGCATCCCTCTCCTTCCACTGCATCCCGCTCTCTGCATTGCATGCTCCCCCTCTCTGCATCCCTCTCCTTCCACTGCATCCCGCTCTCTGCATTGCATGCTCCCCCTCTCTGCATCCCTCTCCTTCCACTGCATCCCGCTCTCTGCATTGCATGCTCCCCCTCTCTGCATCCCTCTCCTTCCACTGCATCCCGCTCTCTGCATTGCATGCTCCCCCTCTCTGCATCCCTCTCCTTCCACTGCATCCCGCTCTCTGCATTGCATGCTCCCCCTCTCTGCATCCCTCTCCTTCCACTGCATCCCGCTCTCTGCATTGCATGCTCCCCCTCTCTGCATCCCTCTCCTTCCACTGCATCCCGCTCTCTGCATTGCATGCTCCCCCTCTCTGCATCCCTCTCCTTCCACTGCATCCCGCTCTCTGCATTGCATGCTCCCCCTCTCTGCATCCCTCTCCTTCCACTGCATCCCGCTCTCTGCATTGCATGCTCCCCCTCTCTGCATCCCTCTCCTTCCACTGCATCCCGCTCTCTGCATTGCATGCTCCCCCTCTCTGCATCCCTCTCCTTCCACTGCATCCCGCTCTCTGCATTGCATGCTCCCCCTCTCTGCATCCCTCTCCTTCCACTGCATCCCGCTCTCTGCATTGCATGCTCCCCCTCTCTGCATCCCTCTCCTTCCACTGCATCCCGCTCTCTGCATTGCATGCTCCCCCTCTCTGCATCCCTCTCCTTCCACTGCATCCCGCTCTCTGCATTGCATGCTCCCCCTCTCTGCATCCCTCTCCTTCCACTGCATCCCGCTCTCTGCATTGCATGCTCCCCCTCTCTGCATCCCTCTCCTTCCACTGCATCCCGCTCTCTGCATTGCATGCTCCCCCTCTCTGCATCCCTCTCCTTCCACTGCATCCCGCTCTCTGCATTGCATGCTCCCCCTCTCTGCATCCCTCTCCTTCCACTGCATCCCGCTCTCTGCATTGCATGCTCCCCCTCTCTGCATCCCTCTCCTTCCACTGCATCCCGCTCTCTGCATTGCATGCTCCCCCTCTCTGCATCCCTCTCCTTCCACTGCATCCCGCTCTCTGCATTGCATGCTCCCCCTCTCTGCATCCCTCTCCTTCCACTGCATCCCGCTCTCTGCATTGCATGCTCCCCCTCTCTGCATCCCTCTCCTTCCACTGCATCCCGCTCTCTGCATTGCATGCTCCCCCTCTCTGCATCCCTCTCCTTCCACTGCATCCCGCTCTCTGCATTGCATGCTCCCCCTCTCTGCATCCCTCTCCTTCCACTGCATCCCGCTCTCTGCATTGCATGCTCCCCCTCTCTGCATCCCTCTCCTTCCACTGCATCCCGCTCTCTGCATTGCATGCTCCCCCTCTCTGCATCCCTCTCCTTCCACTGCATCCCGCTCTCTGCATTGCATGCTCCCCCTCTCTGCATCCCTCTCCTTCCACTGCATCCCGCTCTCTGCATTGCATGCTCCCCCCTCTGCATCCCTCTCCTTCCACTGCATCCCGCTCTCTGCATTGCATGCTCCCCCCTCTGCATCCCTCTCCTTCCACTGCATCCCGCTCTCTGCATTGCATGCTCCCCCCTCTGCATCCCTCTCCTTCCACTGCATCCCGCTCTCTGCATTGCATGCTCCCCCCTCTGCATCCCTCTCCTTCCACTGCATCCCGCTCTCTGCATTGCATGCTCCCCCCTCTGCATCCCTCTCCTTCCACTGCATCCCGCTCTCTGCATTGCATGCTCCCCCCTCTGCATCCCTCTCCTTCCACTGCATCCCGCTCTCTGCATTGCATGCTCCCCCCTCTGCATCCCTCTCCTTCCACTGCATCCCGCTCTCTGCATTGCATGCTCCCCCCTCTGCATCCCTCTCCTTCCACTGCATCCCGCTCTCTGCATTGCATGCTCCCCCCTCTGCATCCCTCTCCTTCCACTGCATCCCGCTCTCTGCATTGCATGCTCCCCCCTCTGCATCCCTCTCCTTCCACTGCATCCCGCTCTCTGCATTGCATGCTCCCCCCTCTGCATCCCTCTCCTTCCACTGCATCCCGCTCTCTGCATTGCATGCTCCCCCCTCTGCATCCCTCTCCTTCCACTGCATCCCGCTCTCTGCATTGCATGCTCCCCCCTCTGCATCCCTCTCCTTCCACTGCATCCCGCTCTCTGCATTGCATGCTCCCCCCTCTGCATCCCTCTCCTTCCACTGCATATCAACTGCTCAGTGTAACACCCACAAAGCTTTACACCTAGTTGGGAAGGAACTAGTCAAGCTGAATGGCCCAAGAAAATACACAACTCACTGTGGACCAAGGACAAGACTAGCCACACTTGATGGACTTTCCCGAGGACATTCTAGCTAGAATACGTGTACTGGGCTGAGATAGAGGACTCAGGAAAACGCACAAGGGCATGTCACAAGCTCGCATTACACTGGACTCCATTTCGATAGCTGTTTTCACACCAACTGAGCAAGGCACTTGGCTTGGAACACAGAGGTTCCCACTTTGTGGAAGAGACTCTAAAAGAGGGAACTGACCCTACCAAGATGCCTGCTTCTCCTCTTAGGAGAACACCCAGAAACATCTTAGAACAGACTGACGGGGAGAGTGCTGGTCCCAGCCAGGGAGAGGAGTCCTGCCTGTGCTATCGAACCGCGTGAGCCACCAATCCAAATCATCTTTAGCTATAAGGGTTAGATTGTTTTGTTTAGGTAATCTTTGATCGGGCTGCTATCACTTCAGTTCTTAAAGTCTGACCTTTCTGTAGTTCGTTAGTTTCTATTTCACCTCAACAAGTGTCGTGTGAGAAGCGTTTCAGAAACAATCTCAACTCTTGTCAAGGGTTGTGCATATTCCTCCGCCCTGTGGGAGGGGCAGGCTAGCGAATCTACTAATCTTTACTGGTCAGGCTTCTCGACTAGGGAAGGACAGTATCAGTCCAGGGTTCTGGGTTGAGGGGATTTTGGCTGGAGCCTCTATTGTTGATTCATGCAGCGACTGGCCAAAATATTCATGCACACAGCAGGGTGCAGCCCCTGCCTGCATATGAGGCCAAGCCTGGAGGGCTCTGAAGCTTGTTACAGGCAGTGGGATCCAGATGGGCCCAGCAGGACCCGATTCCAGGCTGTACCCCACGGGGGGGGGAAAGGGCACCTGTCACAGTGACCCCTGTATTGTAGCCGACCAGCTTGTTCCCAGCCTGCTACCACGCCCTTTCAGCCCACAGTGTGCTGTGTACGCACAGGAGAGGGTGCGCGGGAGCATTTCAACCATGTGTACAGACAGTTTTATTAATCCTGTGGGATCGCAGAGACACGCCAGTCTGCGTGTCCGACTCGCTGCGGCCTTCAGTGCGCGCTGATGAAGAAATGTTGAGAAAATTAAGCAAAATAGTCCCAAAATCAAGGTCTATTCAACCTTTTTTGGTCCTGGAATTGCCTCCATTTTCCTACAGAGGTTCCCTGGCTGCGAAGCGCCACTGGTGAGGCTGGAACCCCAGTGGTGCCTGTGAGACATCTCCGGGGGCAGGGGCCTGCAGACCTCAGGCAGAGGTCTCTGAGGCGGGGCTCCCAACTCCAAGGAGCCCCTTTCTGATGTTTCCAGTGAACTTCTAAAAGAACCTCACTGAAACCTGCCAGTTTCCAAACTCCACGTTTGCTAAGGCCCAGCAACGGCTCAGGGATGGTCGGATCTGGCTACGAGGGGGCGGCTCAGATCCATTTTCTTGCAGTAGGTTCAGAATCAAGCTCAGCCTCCTCCAGCGAGCCGATCCCGCCAGCGAAGAGACGCAGTAGGAGAAGGAGCAGCCATCTAATAGGGGCATAATGCCATGCAGAGCTTCCAGCGAGCATAGAAACGGAGAGAACCCTGCGGCCGGGGAATGGCGTCCCAGTTACGTCCCCCACAGCAAACACATGGCACCTCCTCACCGGGGCAAGGAAACCACCCGCCCCGCAAGCTGCGGCGAGCCCCGGGGCGAGGCCAGGCCTGAGGGACCCGCTTTGCATGCCTACATGGCTCAAGAGCACCGTGGCTTTCTGCTGCAGCGTGGCGTCCGTGCACCAAGCGGACAACCCCCTTGCCCAAGCAGCAAGGCAGCCGAGGAGCCAGGAGCTCCTGCTTTTCACGGCTCTGCCAGGCAGGAGAAGAGGGGGCAGGGTCTCGTCCCAGGAGGCTCTGGGTTGGCCTAGCACCTGAGAGCACCCTGCTTTGGGGTGCGGGACAGCAGGGGTGCAACATGGACTCAGTCCCTGGCTCCCATTGGTGGGGAGAGATGGGCCCTCCGCAGGCCCCCAGCCAGCCTGTCACTGGGCTGTTCTAGGCAAGGGGCAGTGGACACTGGGGCATGAAGAGGCGCTGTGGGGGCAGCCAGAGGCCTCCTCTGGGAAGCGACGTCCGAGTTACGTGCTGGGCGTCTCGCTGACAGAACAGCCCGGAGCCGCGTCCTCTTCCTCTCCAGCAGGGCTCACCCAGTGCTCCCGAGAGGACGGAGACTCAGGTGGCTCCAGCAGGCTGCCCCAGTCGCCACGGCCCTCGGCTCTCCCTGCAGGCAGGGCTGCCAGGGTCTCGCAGCTCATGGGCACTTCCAAGGGACGGGGGGAAGAAAGGCCAAGGTCTTAGCCAGGCTCTTCGGGAGGAGAGGACAGTGCGGCAGCTGGTCGCGGGGGAGGGGCACGGCCAGGCTCCGGCATCTCCCCCCTCACATGGCGAAGCCGTCGTGGCTCCAGACCCTCTCGCCCGCGATGAACGTGGCGCGCACGTGCAGGCTGTCGTCCAGCAGCAGAAAATCTGCAGAGACAGAAGCGAAGACGCGGGAATCAGGGCC